AACATATCTATTAGACCACCTCGACTAGTAAAAAACATACATGTAGCATCAGGACGGGTCCTGTCGGCTAACCTTTAAGACTAACAGTAAGTAGTTGGAGTATAAGTCTTTCGGTGGGTGAATGCCCACTTCATCAGATGCATTCACCCACGAAAGCTTATGCTCCAATACTTCTGTTAGTCTTAAAAGGTGCCACAGGACCCTCTGTTGCTTTTTACAGATTCAGACTAACACGGCTACCCCTCTGATACATGTAGCATCATGAACTAATGGTATAACATGCAAAGGGACTTTTACTGTGAATGATCTGTATCTTATAGGATGGTTTTCTTTTTTGGTGACTGGGCTTCTTCAGATTCAATTCTAACAAAAGTTTGTAAGTGACGTCTATGTGGTCTAGCCCACCCCACTGTTCTCTCCAGTCCCTTTACCCACACTCAGGTGACTTGTTTCCTGGGGCTAACTGATGCAATGCACTAGGTGTTGAACCACTTGTGAAAGCTAAGGTACAAGAAAAGGTCAAATGTGGCCTGTACTAGATGATCTCAGTGGACAGGCCTGGCAGCAGGGAGGAAGTCTAAATCTCAGGTTAGCTTAGGCTTCAAGGAGCCTTGGACAGAAATTCCTCTAAAATAACAAGCAAGCTCTGGCCAGCCCTACCCATCATCCCAGTAAGAGACCTGTCACGTGGCTAGTCAGGAAAGTTCACAGAACATTTGAAAGAGAGCCCAGTGTCTTTCTTCACTCTTTATTGTGTAAAAATAAACTCAACAATTCATGTAATTTCAGCAATAAAATGAAAAAAGCATGAATACCAGTAGAAACAGTGCATTTCCAGAACTGCTGATGTGGATTGTGGCTGTGTGATATATTAATAACCCATTCAAAACCCAAAAAAGACCGATAGCAAGTCATAGGAAAAATGTACAGCTTTGGTTAGCAAAATAATGACAAATTAAGATATATTTATTTTCTACCATTCTGTACAGTATATACATAATATCACTCTTTTTGGCAAATCAGATGCAATTAGGACTGTAGATTTATTTTTTCCAATTATCAGTTTTTCCCCTCAGCAAATTGTGCTTAAGCTGCTGATAGCTGAAGCCAACAGTTTCCAATCAATAGCTCAACAAACTGAACTTACTATGTGGTTTTTTTTTAAGAGCACAGTTAAAATATGCTGCCTTGAGCCACGTTTTGGTATCAAGGTAACCGGATTTGTTTTGTGGATGGTGATTTCTCTGCATCTCAATGCTGTGTTTTAAAACGGCTGGTCATGTGACCAGCTCTCTCATGGCTTGACTAGGATCAGCCCTGGAGCGCAGTATCAACCTTGAACTGCTTAGTCCATGTCCGTCCACGTTGCATATTTATTTGCCACATCTTTGGAGTTTGCAATAAAGGCTGGTTCAGCCTCATGTGAATTCTCCCTGCCTCACCCAACCCTACCACCGCAGATGGGGGTCAGAAGCGGGCGAGGGGGGTGATCTCCTGCAGACCAGGAGTTTTCAAAGGAAACCATACAAAATGTATCTATTATTTCAAAATAAGCTTCTCTTTATCACACACACCCCTGTGGAGTCTTAAAGTATTTTTCAGGGACGCTCAGTTAATTTTATATTCTTTTATTTTTTTCTCCTTCATAAAAATACCTTTTATTGGTAATAAACTTCCTTTTACAATAAGATAAATAATATCCTGTGTTATCAAAAGCAGAAAGGCTGAAGATTGAAATGGGAGCTAAACTTTCAAGGGACAGTAAAGGCTATTTGACAGCTGTCACACTTAGGGTGCCTGTGTAGCTAGGCAAAACAGACACTGCTTCTGCAGTGCTTCGGATTTTATAAAAGGACATTACCTGAGAGAGGCGTGGTTCAGTCAGTGCACCAGGGAACAGCAGGGGCATGGAGGATCTTCGTCCTCTCTCCCTTCTTGAAAGTGTTCGGGCATGAGGGGCGCCCAAGGAGGGAAAGGGCCGGGTGACTCCAGGCCCCGAGCTCGCCGGGGCGTGGGGGCGGGGTAGCCTGGTGCTGGATGGACAGCTCCCAGCGAGCCCGAGCTCTGGATGGAGGCAGGCGTGGTGCTGAAGGGACAGCTCCGGGGGACCGCCGTGGTGCTGAAGGGACAGCTCCGGGGGGCGCCGTGGTGCTGAAGGGACAGCTCCTAGAAGTCGCAGGGCTGCTGGTTTGAAGGCCAGCGGGACTTGAACGTGTTTTAAAGACTAACGCCTGGAGCAGTTTAGCTGGAGGGGGAGGGGGCGCTGGGGAGCGGGGTGGGGGCGCCGGGGAGGGATAACGCTGCCGCCTCACCCACCCTCCTGCTGGGAATGTGCCCCCAGGACATCCTATGGCATGAACATCGCTCGGGCAGACCCCAGCCTGCAGCAGCCCATGCAAGCAGGCGAGTCCAGGCTCGGTAACCGAGACGAAGCCAGTTCCCCCCGCCGCCGCCTCTGCGGGAAGCCAGGGGTGCCGCAAAGGGCTGGGGGGGGGGGGCTGGGCCGGCCCCGTAGAAAGTTCCATTAACAGCCCCTGGGACAAGTAAACGTGGGACAAGAGCGGCTGGGCGCAGACCCAGGCGAGACCTAACCCGCCTCCCCCGGCTGGAGAGGGGTGGCTGCGGCTGGGCCAGGTCGGGTCTGGGATGGGAAGAAGTGCTTGACTAGAGTCCGGCCCCTGCAAGCGCCTGACCCGAACTCGGGCCCCTGCTGTGGCCGGAGGATTCAAATCTCCTGCTTTGCCCCCACCCCCACAGCTCCCCTTAGGCTTCGGGTCTCTGGGGCCTGCGGATGGGCGCTTTGCGGCCGAGGAAGAGACCTAGGCTGAGCTGACGGTAAATCACGGGCCAGCAAACCAGCAGGGGCCCCAGGGTGCGCCGGCTTCAGCAAGTCAGAGACCGAGCGGGATCCCACATGGCTCCTAGGGGGGGTCTCCTGGCCACAAACCCCCATTCCTAGGACACAAGGGCAGGGCTGTTACTGGCCAAGAAACGCCCCTGCTAGCCAAAGGTTGAATGGGGGCGGGGGTCAGGGTGGAGAAGAAAGGAGTCTGGAGACTCGGAGGGGTTTGAAAAGAAAGCAGGTCCCCCTACCCCGCGAGGAAAGGGGGTCTGAGCTCTGCCCGGGTTTGCGGCTCCGCTTCCTAGCCCACTAAGGGAAGGAGGGGTGGGAAGTGTGTGTGTGTGGGGGGGGTCTTTCTCCTATGCTCCTGCAGAGCCCGTCCAAGTAAAGAGGAGTCACGCCCTGGCACTGAAAGACTGAAGGAGCCCCCCCCCCCCCAAGTAACCGGGGATCGGAGGCTCCTGAGTCAGCCCCACACCCCCAAAGCAAAGTCAGGCCCGCCTAGTGCTCCGGCCCACTGCCAAGGTGCTCAGGGGGTGGGGGCGTGCGGGTACGAATGGCCCCAAGAACTCAGCGCCCCCCCCCCGAGGTCACACCACCCCACCGCCGCCTACTTTCCGGTCGGGGGGCCATCGCCCCTCC